TGGGGGTCTAAGTGTGGGGGCGCAGCACCTGGTGCCCCCCCCCCAAGTCCCTGTCCCACCTTTGGGGGTCCCAGCGTCCCCCCCATTCCCCTCGCACCTTTGGGGTGCCGGTGTTGGGGCGCAGCACCCAGAGCCCCCCCAGCCCTGTCTCGCCTTTGGGGATCCCCCATTCACATCGCACTTTTAGGGGTGCAGCACGCTGAGCCCCCCCACTCCCGTCCCACCTTTGGGGGTCCCCGTGTTGGGGTGCAGCACCCAGAGCCCCCCATTCCCATCGCACCTTTGGGGGTGCCGGTGTTGGGGTGCAGCACCAGCCGCACGTAGCAGAGCCCCCCGAACTGCGCCAGGCTCTCCTCCAGCTCCTCCTCCTCGGTGTCGAACGAGAGGTTCCTGGGGGGTCGGGGGGCTCAGGGGGGGCCCAGGGCGGGGGTCCCCCGTTCCCGGCCCCCCCACTCACCGGATGAACACCGTCCTGCCCTCGGCCACGTCCGACGGGCGCTGCCGCCGCCTGCGGGGGGGCCCCTCTGCAATGGGGGGGTCAGGGTCATGGGAGACCCTGGGGGCACCCCCAAACCCCCAGGGCACGTGGGAGACCCCCAGGACCCCAGGGACACCCCGGACCCCCAGGGGCACCCCCGGACCCCAAGGAACCCCCCAGGACACCCAGAAATGTCCCCATGCCCTGGAAGACCCCTCAGACTGCCCTAAGCCCCCCCCTCAAACCTCCCCAGACTCCTTAACCTCCCCCACAGACCCCCCAAACCTCCCCAGGAGCCCCCCCAGCCCACAAAGCCCCCCAGACTCTGCCCAAGCCCCCCCAGACCTCCCCAGCCATGCCAGTTCCCAACAAACCTTCCTCATCCTCATCCTCTTCATCTTCATCCTCCTCATCTTCCTCATCTTCGTCCTCCTCATCCTCATCTTTTTCCTCATCTTCCTCTTCCTCCTCATCTTCCTCTACCTTCTTTTTTTTCCTGTGCCCCAGCCCAGCTCTGGCCCCTGATCCCCTTTTTGGGGTCTGCCGGGGTGCCTGGGCAGCCTCTTTCTGCTCCTCTTCCTCCTCTTCATCTTCATCTTCTTCATCCTCCTCGTCCTTTCCTTCATTCTCCTCTTTTTCTTCTTCCTCTTCTTCTTCTTCTTCTTCCTCTTTTTCCTTGTTTTCCTCCCCTTTCTCCTCTCCCTCTGTAGGAACAGGGGGTGTGAGGGGGTCACCTTGCCCCCCTCTGCCCCCCCAAACCCTCAGGGACCCCAGCCCAGCCCCTCACATGGGGTAGGGGGGATCTGGGGGTCTCACTGAATGGGGGATTTGGGGTCTCCCCAGGGGGTTTGGGGTCAGTTTTGGGGTCTCACCAGGCGTTTTTGGGGCTCCCTGTGTCCCCTGGTACTTGTCCTTGGCCACGGCCCAATCCACGGCCAGGGGCCGCCCTGGGGGGCACGGGGGGGTCAGAGCCCCAAATTCCTGAGGGCCCCCGTGCCCCACAGAGCCCCCATCCTCCGTGTGCCCCCCAGAGTCCCCATCCTCCGTGTGCCCCACAGAGCCCCCCATCCTCCGTGTGCCCCCCAGAGCCCCCCTCCTCTGTGTGCCCCCCAGAGCCCCCCTCCTCCGTGTGCCCCCCAGAGCCCCCCATCCTCCGTGTGCCCCACAGAGCCCCCCCTCCATGTGCCTCTTCCCCAGAGCCCCCATTTCCCCCAGACCCCCCAGCTCCCTCCCCTCACCCCCCATTTTCCCTAGGACCCCTCCAAACCTCTGATCTCCCCAGTTTGGAGACCCCCAGCACCCCCAACTCCCAGGGACCGCCTGCTGAACCCCAGAACCCCCAAGTCTCAGAGCTGAGACCCACTGAGCCCTCTCTCCAGGATCCCCCAAACGCCCTCCAGGCCCCCCCAGATCTGATCTGGGCCCCTTTGAGCCCCCCCAGCCCCCCAGAACCCCTCAGCCCCCCAGACCTTTGATCTGGGCCCCGTTGAGCCCCCGCAGCGCCGCCGCCGCCTCACGCAGGTTCCGGAGCTGGACGAAGGCGAAGCCCCTCGGGGTCCCGTCTGCAAGAGCCCCCCAAAGCGACCCCCAGAGTGAGCCCAAAGTGAGCCCAGAGTGAGCCCAGGGCTGGGGGGCACCCGGGGGGCTCGGGGGGCCGGGGGCTCACCAGGCTTGCGGGGCAGGTTCAGCTCCACCACGGGGCCAAAGGGGGCGAAGAGAGCCTGGAGCTCCTCCTCGGAGCACTGCGGGGACAGGGGGGACACTGAGGGGTCACGGGGGACACTGAGGGGTCAGGGGGGCACTGACGGTCACAGGGGACACTGAGGGGTCAGGGGGGTCAGTGAGGGGTCAGGGATCCCTGGGGAGAGGGCAGCACTGGGGGGCTCTGGACATGACAGCCATCAGGGGTTTGGGGGTCCTGGGAGCATCAGGGGTGCTGGGGAGGTGCCCTGGGAGGAATGGGGTCACTGGGGGGGTCCTGGGCATGGGGGAGTGCTGGGGGGATCCCTGGGGGGTCCACGGAGAGATGGCGGTCCCCAGGGAAATGGGGGTCCCTTGGGAAGGGCCTGGGGAGCCTGAGGGGCACTGGGGGTCCCTGGGGGGTTGGGGGCACTCGGGGGGTCTCTGGGGGTTTGAGGGCACTTTGGGGGTCCCTGGGAGCCCCCCTCACCTGGAAGCTGAGGTTGCGCAGGATCAGCCGCGCCTTGCGGGAGGGTCCCCGCGGTTTCTTGGCGCGGGGCGGTCCCAGGGGGCTCTCCCCCCGTGCCCCGGGGGTGTCGGCGCCCCTCGGGGCGGGCCGGGCCCGCGGCCGGGCGGGGCTCACGGGCAGGCGGCGCCCGCCCAGCTCGGGCGGCTCCCGCAGCGCCCGCGCCGCGTCCTCGGCCAGGGAGAACGTCACGTACCCGAACCCGCGGCACCTCGGGGAGCCTGGGGGGCCGGGGGGGCGTCAGGGGCCCGACACCCCCGGCACGGCCCCCCCACACCCGACCGGGACCCCCAAACCAGCCCTGCCCCAGAGCCCCGCTGTGCAGGCAGCCCAGTCACCCCGTGCTGCCCCCCAATGCATGACCCCCCAAATTCCTGCTCCCCAAATTCCTGCTGCACAGCTCCCCAGCCCCCCCTGTGCCCCCCAGCCCCAAATCCCAGTCCCAGCCCCCAGCTCAGACCCCAAATGTCACCTCCCCTTCCAAAGCCCTGCTCCTATCTCCCCCAGCCCCAAACCCCTCTGTGCCCCTAGATCCCCCCCACCCAGACCCCGGGTCCAGCCCCTCGGGCCACTCAGCTCCCAACCTCTGCCCCCCAGACCCCATTTCCAGCCCCAAACTGCCCCCCAAAGCCCTCCCAGCCCCTGCAGCCCCCCCAGACCCCATTCCCAGCCCCTGCAGACCCTCAGACCCCGCTCCCAGCCCCAGAGCTCGCTCCCTCACTGCTTCCGACCCCGCCACACCCCGCTCCCCGCAGCCCCCCGCTCCCTCCCGGCTCGGACCCTTCTCGGTGACCACGAAGCAGCGGCGGAGCGGCCCCAGGTGCCCGAAGAGCCGCTCCAGGAGCGCGGCGGTGGCTCCGGCGGGGAGGCCCCGCACCAGCACCGTGCGCGCCTCGGGCGCCGCCATCTTGGGCCGCGGGGGATGCCGGGAGCGCGGCGGAGCGGCCCGAGGGTGGCGGGGCCGGCTGAGGGCGCCTCCCGGCGGCAAGGAGGACCGGGAGCGGCACCGGGGGCGGGGCGGGCTCACAGCGCTCCCTGGCGGCAAGGAGGACCGGGAGCGGCACCGGGAGGGGCACCGGGGGCGGGGCGGGCTCACAGCGCCCCCTGGGGGCAAGGAGGACCGGGGAGATCGGGGGGCTCCGGGACCCCCCAGCACAGCCCAGAGGGGTCAAAGGGGTCCTGGGGGGCCCCGGAACCACCCAGCACAGCCCAGAGGGGTCCTGGGGGGGCTCCGGGGGTCTCACCCCGCGGGAAGGGGGTCGAGAGGCCCTTGGGGCCCCAGGGATGGGGTGCGTTCCCATTCCAGGGATGGGGGCGCGTTCGGGGGTCCCGTTGCGGAGCTGGGGGGTCAGAGGGTCCCGCCCCAGGTCTGGGGGCGCTCAGGGGTTGTCACACACATCCTTCGCACGTGGCACTTTATTGGGTACACGTGGGGGGGGAACTGGGGAGGCCATGGGGGAGTTTGTGGGGCCCCAGGTCGTTACCAACATTTGGGGGTCTCGGGGAACTGGGGGCGCTTTGTTACCCGTATTGGGGGGTCACAGGGACCTGAGAGGCGTCTGGGGGGTCCCCAGACTGGTACCAGCACTTGGGAGGTTCAAAGATATGGGGAGGGGGCGTTTCTTACCCGTTTTTGGGGGGTCACATGGAATTGGGGGGTCCCCAGATTGGAACCAGCACTCGGGGGTCTCGAGAACTTGGGGGGCAGCTGGGGGGGGTCCCCAGATTGGCACCAGCGACGGGAGGGATCGAGGCTCTGGGTGGGGCACTTTGTTACCCGTATTTGGGGGTCTCAAGGACTTGGGGGGCGGCTTGGGGGTCCCCAAGTCCTCATCAGCACCTGGGGGGCTCATTTGGGGCGGGCAGTTTGTCACTCCTCTTCGGGGGGATTCGGGAACTCGGGGAGGGGTTCCCCAGATTGTCACCAGCACTGGGAGGGGCCTCAGGGACACGGGGGGGCAGCTTGTTACCCGTATTTGGGGTCTCGGGGGCCTGGGGGGCACCGTGGGGGTCCCCAGGTTGTCATCAACACTTGGGGGTCTCAAGGACATGGGGGGGATCCCTGGATTGTCACCCGCATCGGGGAGGGGGTTTCAGGGGCCTGGGAGTCCCCAGATTGTCACCAGCACTTGGGGGAGGCTCAGGAGTTCGGGGGTCCCGAGGTTGCCCCCCTGGTTCGGGGGGCTCAGGAGTTTGGGGGTCCCGAGGTTGCCCCCCTCGTTTGGGGGTCCCGGGGGGCTCAGGGGGTCCCGAGGTCGCCCCCCTGGTTCGGGGGTCCCGGGGGGCTCTGGCCGGGCTCTCCCCGCCGCTCCCTCCCTACAAGTCAATGGTGTCGCTGCCGGGGCTGGGGCCGCCGCCGCCCGCGGGGGTCTCGGGGGGCGCGGCCCGGGGTCTCCCCTCGGCCCAGCTCTGCGAGGGGCGCAGCGGGGGCGGGGCCGGGCCCGTCGCGGGGGTCGCGCCGGGATCCGCCCCCCGGGCCGGGCCCCCCCCGCAGGAGGCGGCGCGGGACAGCCCCGAGGGGCGGGGGGCGGCGGGGGGGGCACCGGGGGCACCGGGGGGGCCAGCAGCGCCAGCTGTGCCAGCTGTGCCCGAGGGGCTGGGGTCTGACGGGCCAGCGGTGCCGGGCGCTGCAGGGCCCTGCGCTCCAGGTGTGCCAGGGGTTCCAGCTGTTCCAGGTGTGCCGCTGGCGGTGCTGGCGGTGCCCGGGGTCCCCGTCCCTGAGGGGCCGGCGCTGCCGGTTCCCGGGGGCGCGGTTTTGCTGTCCCTGCTTGTGCCGGGGGTGCCACGCTCTGTCCCGCCAGCTGTGCCAGCTGTGCCGGGTTTGCTGGCTGTGCCAGGTGCGCTGGTTGCTGCAGCTGTGCCAGATTTGCCGGCTGTGCCAGGTGTGCTGGCTGTGCTGGCTGCGCTGGCTGTGCCAGGTTTGGCAGCTGTGCCAGGCGTGGTGGCTGTGCCAGCTGTGCCAGGTTTGCTGGTTGCTGAAGCTGTGCCAGGTGTGCCGGCTGTGCTGGCTGTGACAGGTATGGTGGCTGCGCTGACTGTACTAGGTTTGCTGGTTGTTGCAGCTGTGCCAGGTGTGCCAGGTTTGCCGGCTGTGCCAGGTTTGCTGGTTGTTGCAGCTGTGCCAGGTGTGCCGGCTGCACCAGGTGTGCCAGGTGTGCCGGCTGTGCCAGGTTTGCTGGTTGTTGCAGCTGTGCCAGGTGTGCCAGGTTTGCCGGCTGTGCCAGGTTTGCTGGTTGTTGCAGCTGTGCCAGGTGTGCCGGCTGCGCCAGGTGTGCCAGGTGTGCCGGCTGTGCCAGGTTTGCTGTTTGCTGAAGCTGTGCCAGGTGTGCCGGCTATGCCAGGTGTGCCAGGTTTGCCAGCTGGGCCAGGTTTGCTGTTTGCTGAAGCTGTGCCAGGTGTGCCGGCTGTGCTGGCTGTACCAGGTTTGCCAGCTACCCCAGGTGTTCCGGCTGTGCCAGGTTTGCCGGTTGCTCCAGCTGTGCCAGGTTTGCTAGCTGTTCCTGCTGTTCCAGGTGCTCCAGCTGTTCCAGGTTTGCCAGCCGCGCCAGCTGCGCTGGGTGTTCCAGCTGTGCCAGCTGAGTCAGGAGCGCCACCTGTGCCAGCTGTGCCGGCTGTTGCAGCCGTGCCAGGTTTGCCCGCCGTGCCAGCCGTGCCAGGTTTGCCATTCGTGCCGGTCGTGCCACCCGTTCCGGCCGTGCCCGCCCCCGCGGTGCCGGTGCCGCCCGCTGCCGCAGCCCCGGCTGTGCCGCTGGCGCTCCCGGTGCCCAGCCCGGGCATGGCGGTGCTGCCGCCCCCCGGTAGCGCGGTGCTGCCGGTGCCGGTGCTGCCGGTGCTGCCGCCCCCCGGCAGGGCGGTGCTGCTGGTGCCGGTGCTCCCGGCGCTCCCGGTGCTCGGGGCGCTGCGGGCGCTGCCGGCGGCGCTGATGACGCTGATCTCGGTGCTGCCGGTGCTCCCGAGCGCGCTGACCCCGTTGCTCTTGGCCTTCCCACCGTTACCGGCGCTGCCCGCGAGGGCGATGCCGGCGCTCCCGGCGCCCGCGGCGTTGCCGGTGAGGCCGATCCGGGCGGCCCCGATGCCGCCGTTCCCGGCGCGGAACATGCCCGGCGCCCCCAGCGCCTCGTCGATGGAGCGGCGCAGGTCGATGGGGGACGGGGGCCGGAACCCGGCCGTGGGGTCCCCGTCCGCGTCCAGGGGGGACTCGGGGGGCGCCCCCGCCTCCTCGCCCGCTGCCCGCCCGCCGCCGCCCTCGGGGGGCTCCGCGGGGCCGCCGGGGGGGGCGCGGCCGCTCGGGGGGGCGGCGAAGGCGAGCGCGGCCAGCGCCCCCCCCATGGCCAGCTCGGCCAGGCGCGCCCCCAGCTGCAGCCCCCACCAGGCCCAGGGCCCGGGCGCGGGGGTCGCGGCCCAGCCCCGGGCCTGCAGGGCCCCGAAGAGCTGCAGCCCCGCGCTCAGCGCCGCCGCCGCCGCGCCCAGCGCCCGCGGGACCCCCGCCCGCGCCCCCCCCGCCGCCGCCGCCCCGCGCTTGCCGCGCCCCCCGCCCGCCCCGCAGCGCCGCAGCCCCCGCAGCGCCAGCGCGGCCGCCAGCGCGGCGAACAGAGCGCGGGGCAGCAGCAGCAGCAGCAGCGGGGGCCCCCCCAGCGCCGCCAGCGCCCCCACGGCCCCCAGCACGCCCCCCAGGTGCAGCGCCCCCAGGACCAGCAGCAGCGGCACCGGGCCGGCGGCGGGGGGCGCCAGCGCCAGCCCCCAGCCCAGGCACGGGAAGGGCAGCTCGAAGAGCGCCCGGGCGGCGGGGGGCGGCAGGCGCCCCCCCAGCTCGTAGGGGTCGAAGAAGAGCGGGAAGGCGCGGGCGAGCGCGGCCAGCGCCAGCAGCGCCCCCAGCAGCCGCGCCAGCGCCGGGCGGCGCCCCCCGAGCAGCAGCAGCGCCCCCAGCCCCCCCAGCAGCGCGAAGGCCGCCCCCGCCCCGTAGACGTGCCCGGGCCACGCCGCGCCCCACAGCGCCGCCGCCTCGGGCCACGGCGCGCCCAGCGGCGCGAAGTGCGGCGGCCACGGGAACGGGGGCGCGGGGGAGGCCCCGCCGGGCTCCGGGCCCCCCGAGCCGCAGGCGGAGCCCGGCGTGCAGGCGGAGGCGGCGGCGGGCGGCGGCGCGGCCCCCCGGGAGGGCTGGCGGCCGGGGGACGGCGCTGCGGGAGACGCGGGGGTCAGCGGGGGGAGCGGGGGTCCCCACACCCCGAACCCCCCCTGCTCCTCCCAGGACCCCCCAGATACCCCCCCACATCCCGCATCTCGCCCGAGTCCGGAGGGAGGCAGCGCCCCCCCACCAGCACCCCCAAACCCCCACGTGTCCCCATTTCCCCGGGACCCCCAAAGCCCAGATGCCCCCTATTGACCCCGAACTCTTCAGCCCCCCCCAATCCACAGCCTCCCCCCCAGAGCCTGCATTCCCCCGGCCCCTCCAAACCCCAGCACCCCCCCGGCCTCCCAGAACCCCCCAAAACCCAGGACTCCCCCAAATCCCAGGGCTCCGCTGTTTCCTAGCCCCCCCTTAAATGCAGGACACTCCCATCCCCCAGAACTACCCCAGTTCCCAGACCCCCCATCTCCATAAACCCCCCAGGCCCTCCCCAAATCCCGGTCCCCAAATCCCGGTCCCCCCAAATCCCTGCCCGCAAATCTCCGCCCCTCAAAATCCCCGTCCCCCCAAATCCCGCCCCCCCCAAATCCCGGCTCCCCAAACCCAGCCCCTCAAATCCCGGACCCCAGATCCCACCCCCCAAATCCCGGTCCCCCTAAATCCCTGCGCCTAAATCTCCGCCCCTCAAAATCCCCCAAATCCCGCCCCCGCAAATCCCGGCCCCCAAACTCCGGCACCCCCAAACTCCAGCACCCCCAAACTCCCACCCCCCAAATCCCCTCCCCCAAATCCTGCCCCCAAATCCCGCCCCCCCCCCCCCCCAGATCCTTCTCTCCCCCCAAATCCCGCCCCCCCAAGTCCCGCCCCCCCAAATCCCGAATCCCGCCCCCCAATCCGCCCCCACCTGGCTCGGCGCCGCTTCCCGCCTCGTCCATCTCCAGGGACGCGTTTCCCCCCTCGGCGCCGACGCTGGGGGGCCCCGTGGGGAACAGGAACCCTGGGGGGCACCGGGGGGTCGGTGTCGGTGTCGGTGTGGGGGCTCCCCGGTTTGGGGGTCCCGCCCCCGCACTCACCGGCGGCGCTGAGTCTCCCGGCCAGCTCCGAGAGGCCGGGCGGGAGCCGGGGGCGGCCGGGGGCGCCCCGCAGGACGCCGGTGGGGGGCACGGCCGGCCCCGCGCCGCCCGGGGGGGGCTCCAGCCCCGCCGTCAGGTCGATGGCGATGTCCAGCTCCAGCTGCTTGTCCCGGGGCCGCCCCGGGCCGGGGGTCGCGGCCCCGCGGGCGGGGGGGCCCCCCCGGGCCGGCGCCTCCTCCGGGGGTCCCGCGGAGCCCTCGGCGGGCTCGGGCGGGGTGGGGGGCGCGGCGCTGCGGGGGGGGCCCGGGCTCCGGGGGGCGCCCGCGGGGGTGGGGGGCGCGGGGGGGCGCGGGCCGCCCTGGCTCCGCACCTTGATCTTGAAGTTGAGGCCGAGGTTGAGCGACAGCAGCGGGGAGTCGCTGTGCGGGGCGGGGGGCGTCCCGGGGGGCGCGCTGGGCGGCGGGGGGGCGGCGGCCCGGGCCACGCACAGCAGCGCCAGCAGCAGCCGAGGGGCGGCCGCCCCCTCCGCGGGGCACAGCGGCGACATCGCAGCGGCTGCGGACGGGGGCGCGGGGGGACGGGGTGTCACCCCCGGCATCACAGAGACCCCCAAGACAGCCCAGAGACCACCATGGCAACCCAGAGCTTCCCCCATGGTACCCCATAACGCCCCCCCGGCATCCCAGAGACCCCCCCCATGACAACCCAGAGCTTCCCCCATGGTACCCAATAACGCCCCCCCGGCATCCCAGAGACCCCCCCATGACAACCCAGAGCTTCCCCCATGGTACCCCATAACGCCCCGCCGGCATCCCAGAGACCCCCATGACAGCCCAGAGACCCCCCCCCATGACAACTCAGAGCCCCCTATGGCACCCCAGAACCCCCCCACGACACCCCAGAACCCCGCCCCGGCATCCCAGAGCCCCCCCATGGCACTCTGGAGCCCTCCATGGCAACCCCCGGTACTCAGGGAGCATTTGAGGAGGGACAGCGGCACCTGGGGGGCCAGGGACAGGAGGGGACAGCGGCACCTGGGGGCACAGGAGCGCCCCGGGGACAGGGACGCGATGTGACGGGCCAGGTGCACTCAGGGATGGACACACGGGAGCGCTCCATGGGCGGGGACAGGAGCACCGGGGGGGACACGGGGGCACCTGGGGACAGGAGCCGCGGGGGGGAGGCCGGGACCGGCCCGAGGGGGAGCAGGGGCGCCCCGAGTTTGGGACAGGAGCGCCCGTAGGGACACAGAGCGCCCCCAGGGAAGGGGCGGGAGGGGAGCGGCGGTGGCACTCGGGGACGGGGAGCACGCGGGGGCGCGCGGAGGTGTCCCCTCCCCCGGAGCCCCCCCCCGACAGCGCCAGGTCGCTAATCGGGGTGACAGGGGCTGTCGCCGCGGGCTGGCACCGCGCCCGTCAGGGCGGCGGCGGCGCGGGCGCGACGGATGCGAAGTGACACGCGGGACACGCGGGGAGCCGCGGCCCCCGCGCGGGACAGCGCGCCCCGCGCCCCCGGAGCGGCACCCCGCGACGGCACGGCCCCCGAAGTGACACCCCCGGGACCGCCACCCCCGCACGCGACACCCCCGCACGGGACACCCCCGGGCCGGCCACCCCCCCAAGGGACACCCCCGGAACTGCCGCCCCCCGAATTGCCACCCCCACGCGGGACACCTCCGCACCCGCCACCCCCGGAACTGCCGCCCCCGCACCCCCGCGGGCCCCAGACCCCCACGGCAAGGAGGGGGTCCCCACGCCGGTGTCACCCGTGGGTCACAACCGCGCTCCCCGCACACCCGCCCGCCCCCTCCCGCCGTGCCCACGCGTGTGACAGGGACATTGCCGGGGGGGGGCACGGGCACGGCCCGGGGTGGGCATCTCCTGCACCCCCCCCACCTGTGGCCCCCCCAACCCTGCTCGCTCCCCCCACCTGTGCCCCCCTGCACACCTGTGCCCCCCCCACCTGTGCCCCCCCCACCCCACGCTCCCACGCGTCCCCCCCGCACCCCCCGGCCGTGGCCCCCCCCCGCAGCCCCCCCCCCCCCATTTCCCGCGCGTGGGAGCGTGTGCGCACGTGTGCGCGCGCGTGACGGCGCGTGCCAGCGCGTGTGCGTGGGACAGAGCGCGCGGGGGCGGCGCGGGGGCGGCGCGGGGGGGGCATGGGGCTCGGCACCGCTCGTGGGGGGGCACCCCCGAACCCCCAGAACGCCCCCGAGCCCCCCAAACCCCCCGAACCCCCCCCCGCATCCCCGGGGCGCCCCCGCAAACCCGGGGCCCCCCGAACCGAACCGAACCCCCGCACCCCCAAACCCGGCTCACCTCCCCCCCCGGCACCCCGCGATCCGCGCCCCCCGTCCGCTGGGGACCCCAACCCGGGCACGCCCCGCACCCCAAACCCGCACACCCCCCCTGAGCTCCCCCCACCGCACCCCCTGCCCCGCTCAGCAGCGCCCCGCGGGCCCCCCCGCACCCCGAACCCCCAAACCCGGCCCCCTGAACCCCCAAACCCCGCACCCCGAACCCCCAAACCAGCACCCCGAACCCCCCCGCCCCCCGCACCCACCGGCCTCGGCGGCGGCTCCAGCCCCGGCCCGGCCCCGGCGGCGGCAGCGGCGGGAGGGGCGGGCCGAGCCCCCCCCCACTCCTCCTCCTCCTCCTCCTCCTCCTCCCACCCCCCGCGCCCCCCGGGCTCCCCCGCCCCAGCCCCCGCCCCCCCCCGGCTGCGGGACCCGGCTGGAGCGGGGTGGCGTTCCGGGGGTCCCGCATCCGGGGGGGGGGGGGCAGGATTGAGGGGTCCCCTCCTGGGGGGGAGTCACGGTGGGGTTCACAGATTTGGGGGGGGTCTCACATTTTCAAGCGGTCCCACACTTGGGGGTCGCACACCTGGGGGTCCCACATCTGAAGGGGGTCCCAATTTTGGGGGGTCCTCCCCCATTTGGGGTACCCCCCCGTAGGGAGGGGGTCCCACCCTTGTCGAGGGGAATATCTCGCGTTTGGGGCTTGTCCCACATTTGGGGGGGATGTCCCACAATTGGGGGGGGCCCGGGGTCTCACTTCTGGGAAGGTGCCACATTTGGGGTCCCCTATTTGGGTGGCGCCACCTGTGGGGGGTCCCAGGTGTGTCCCGACCTTTGCCACCCGTGTCACGTGTGACAGCGTGTGCCACCCGTGCCATGTGTGTGCCACCACCCTGTGTCACAGCGTGTGCCACCCGTGCCATGTGTGTGCCACCACCCTGTGTCACAGCACGTGCCCCCCTGGTGCCACGTGTGCCCCCCGGTCCCCGTGGCACCCGCAGGGACAGCGACACGCCAGGGGCCAGCCGGGGGACAGGACCATGGACAGAGCCAAGGACGGGGACAGGACCAGGGCCAGCCCGGGACAGGGACAGGGACAGGGCCAGGGCCAGCCTGGGACAGGGCCAGGGACAGGGCCAAGGACGGGGACAGGACCAGGGACAGGGACAAGGACAGGACAGGGCCAGGGCCAGGGCCAGCCCGGGGCAGGGACAGGGACAGGGACAAGCCAGGCTCCGATGCTCCAAGACTTTATTCACCCCTGGACACAGCGAGTCCGGGGCTCCCCTAGACCCTAGGGAGGCCACAGGACCGTGGGGTCCCCAGGACACTGTGGAGCCCCCTGTGACAATTTGGGGTCCCCGGGGACACTTTGGGGTCCCCCAGGACACTGTGGGGTCCCTGCAGTGCTGGGGTCCCCCCATCCCCACTCGGGGCACAGGGGGACACAGCCCCGCAAGCTCCTCAGTGCCAGGGGGGGTTTGGGGGTCCCCACACCATTGGGGGGGCTGTGGCTCCCTGCATCCCCTCTTTGGGGGGCCGGGAGGTCCCCGCAGCCTCGTGGTGCCCCGGGACATTTGGGGGGTCCCTGCACCCCCATTTCTGAGGGCCCTGGGGATCCCCCTCCCCTGAGGTGCCCCGGGGGGATTTGGGGCTCCAGGAGGGCTCCGGGGTCCCCGCAGCCCCTGTGCTCGGGGGGTTTGGGGGTGCCCCATTGGGGGTGCCCCATTGTGGGTGCTCTATTGGGGGTGCCCCACTGTGGGGTGCCCCATTCAGCAGCGCCGGTGTCGGGGGGCCGGGGGGGTCCCCGCAGGCTCCGGGCGGGGGGCGCCGGCCCGGGGGGACCCCTCCTCAGGGCAGCCTCCTCTGGGCACTGTGGGGACAAGGGGGGGGTCACAGGGGGCAAGGGAACCCCCAAACCCCTTCTAGGGGGGAAGGGAACCCCCAAACCCAGATCCCGGCTGGGACGCTGGGGGCGCCCCCTCCCCAGCCCCCCAGGGAGGGGACAAAGGGGGGCGGTAAAGGGGCCCCCCAGTGCCCCCCACCCCCGGGCAGCCGGTACTTACAGGGCAGAACCGTGAAGCTGCAGGGGAGGGAAGGGAAGGTCAGGGGGGCACAGGGACCCCCACACCCCAAACAATCCCATCCCCGACTCTGGGGGAACTGGGGGTGCCCCACAGCCGGCACGGGGGGCCCAACATGTGGGATCTGAAGTGGTGCCTTCCTCAGCCCCCCAGAACATCACCCACTCCCCAAGATCCCCCCATCTCCTGAACCCCTCACAGCCCCCAAAGCCTCCAAAACCTCCTCCAAATCCCCCAGTCCCCCAAGCCCCCTCCAACCGCTCTCTGCTACCCAAAATCTGCCCCAAATCCCCCAGCTCCCCCAAACGCCTCCAGCCCACCAAACCTCTCCAAAGCCCCCCAGACCCCCAAGCCCCCAGTCCCCCAAAACCTCCTCCAACCACGCTTAACCCAAAATCTGCCCCAAATCTCCCAGCCCTCCAAGCCACTCCAGCCCCCAAAACCTCTCCAAAGTCCCCCCAATTCCCCCTCAGCCCCCCAAGCCCCATCCGGCCAGTGTCAGCCACCCAAAATCTGCCCCAAATGCCCCAAACCCCTCCAGCCCCCCAAATCTCTCCAAACCCCTCCCAAGCCCCCCCAAACGCCCCCAGCCCCGTCCCCACTCACGAGTGCAGCCCGTGCACGCCCCCCTCGACCTGCGCCGCCACCGTCCTGCGCTCGAACTTGAGCTCCCCCGCGAACATCATGGACCTGGGGGGCACGGGGGGTCGGCGTGGGGCCGGGACCCCTCCCCACGCCCCCCACAGCCCCCATCCCGCACTGACCGGAGCGCCGAGAGGCTGCGGGCGCCCAGGTCCTGGCAGCCGTGCTGCAGCCCGGCCAGCAGGTACGGCACGAACTTGTGGATGGAGCCCTTGTCCCGCACGGACCCCGACACGCCCTGCGCCACCTTCACCGCGTCCCCCTCGCTGTGGGACGGGCACACGCGGGGCTGGGGGGCGCCCGGGGGGGCGCCGTCCCCTCCCCAGGACCCCCGGGGGTACCTGAAGTAGCGTTTCTGGCTGCCCGCGCCCTGCTCCATGGCGTCCAGCGAGCCCATGCCCCGGTACTGCTTCAGCCGCACGCCCTCCGAGTAGAAGAACTCGCCCGGAGCCTCCGTGGTGGCCGCCAGCAGCGACCCCATCATCACTGGGGGGGACACCCCGTCAGGGACCCCCGTTCCAGCGGGGCGGGGGGCTGAGACACCCCCAGGATGGGCTGGAATGGGGGATCCCCTCGGGGACACCGGGCTGGGCCGGGGGCTGTGAGACCCCCCCAGGATGGGCTGGGGGCTGCGGGGGCAACACCAGGATGGGCCGGGGGCTGTGAGACCCCCCCCAGGATGGGCTGGGGGCTGCGGGGCCATCACCAGGCTGGGCTGGACGGCAGGATCCCCTCGTGGGTGGCCACCAGACCCCTGTGGGTGCCCCCCGTGCCCCCCACCGTGCCCCCCGCTCACCGGTGGACGCGCCCAGTGCCAGCGCCTTCACGGCGTGCCCGGGGCTGCGGATGCCACCGTCGGCGATGACGGGGACGCCGAAGCGCCGCGCGTACTCGGCCACGCGGTACACGGCCGTGGCCTGGGCGCGGCCACACGCCAGCACTGCATGGGACAGGGACAGGGACATGTCAGGGACAGTGAGAGGGACATGGGCACGGCCACACGCCAGCACTGCCGGGGACAGGGACAGGGACATGTCAGGGACACTGTGAGGGACACGGGCACATGCCAGCACTGCATGGGACAGGGACAGGGACATGTCAGGGACACTGTGAGGGACACGGGCACGGCTTGGGCACAGCCACATGCCAGCAATGCCGGGGACAGGGACATCAGGCACACGTCAGGGACACTGTGAGGGACTTGGCCTGGGCACGGCCACATGCCAACACTGCTGGGGACAGGGACATTGTGAGGGACACGGGCATGGCCTGGACATGGCCACAGTGCCATGGGGACAGGGACAGGGACACTGTGAGGGACACAGTGTGGCCATGCCCAGGCCACAGCCGCCATGGGGACAGGGACGTGTCAGGGACACTGCAAGGGGCGTGGCCATGGCCTGGGCATGGCCACAGAGCAGCACTGCCGTGGGGACAGACATAACAGGGACAGGGGATCAGGGACACTGTCACAGGGACAGGGGGACAGCGGGTACAGGGCCACCCCGAAGGGCACAGTGGGGACACTGCAGGGTGTCCAGCGATGCCAGGGTGGCTCAGGTGTCACCCACCTTCCTGTGTGATGCAGATGGAGCCGCTGCCCATCCCCACCCGCAGCGCGTCCACCCCGGCGTCGATCAGGTTCTTGGCCTGGGCTGCGGTCACCACTGCGGGGACACCCCAGAATGGCACCCTGGCAGTGCCCAGGACACCCCAGAAATGGTGTCCCAAAATGGCACTTCAACATTGCACAGGACACCCCAGAACAGCACCCTGACACTGCCCAGGGCACCCCAAAATGGCACCCAAACCCTGCCCAGGGCACCCCGTAACGGCACCCCAGAATGGGACCCTGGCAGTGCCCAGGGCACCCCAAAAATGGTGCCCCAAAACAGCACCCCAAACCTGCCCAGGGCACCCTGAATCCCACCTGCAGGGATGCACCCCAAACACGGTACCCCAAAACAGCAGCCCAAAAGTGACACCCCAAATCCATCCCCACCCTCCCCAAATCCTCAAATATAGCCCTCGAAAATAGTCCCCAGAATGTCACCCAAATCCCAGCTCACCACTGCAGGGACACCCCAAATCTGCCCCCATTTCCCCCCTCTGTTTTGGGGTCACCCCCGCTCCTCAGTGCCCCCCCGGCTGCAGCCCCCCCGCCCTATTTGGGGTCTCACCATTGCCCCCCAGCCCCGTTTGGGGTCTCACTGTTCCCGTGCCCCCCTTGCCCTATTTGGGGTCTCACCATTCCTGTGCCCCCCAGCCCCATTTGGGGTCTCGCCGTTGCCCCCCCCGCCCCATTTGGGGTCTCACCGTTGCCCCCCCGCCCCATTTGGGGTCTCACCGTTGCCCCCCACCACCTGCAGCTCGGGGTACTTGGCCTTGATGTATCGGATCATGCCCAGCTGGTACCGCGAGTTCCCCTGCGACGAGTCCTGCGGGGTTGGGGTGTGCGGGGCAGGATTTGGGGTGCAGGGCAGGTTTTGGGGTGCCACGGGGGGAGCAGAGGGTTGGGGTTCAATGAGCAGGGGGTACCCCCCAGCCCCCTCCTATTTCGGGGCACAAGCAGCTCCATCCCCATCCCCATCCCCAGACCCCATCCCCTCCCTTTTGGGGTCCCATGGCTTTTGGGGTGCCCCCACACTCCTATTTTTAGGGTCCCCCTCCTGCACCAGCAACTCCAACCCATCTCCTTCCCTTCCCTTCTATCCCTCCCCGGTTTTGGGCTCTTCCATTTCTGGGGATCCCCGTTTCTGGGGTGCCCCATTTTCGGGGTCCCCTGAGGTCAGCCCCCGCACCAGCAGCTCCATCCCCCCCATTCCTCCATCCTCATCCCCCCGTTTTTGGGATACTCCCCCATTTCTGTGTCCCCCCATTTTCATCCCCCCATTTGGGGGTCTCACGTTTTTGGGGTGCCCTCACCCCCCCATTTCTGGGGACCCCTCCACACTCACCGGCACGCAAGCCCCGTGCCCTTCCTCCCCATCCTCCCCCTCATCCCCCGTGCCCAGAGCGCCGGGTTTTGGGGTGCCCCGGTTCGGGGGTGCCCCGGGTTTTGGGGTGTCCCGGTTCGGGGGTGTCCCGTTTTCGGGGTGCCCGCGGTTTGGGGTGCCCCGGGTTTTGGGGCGCCCGCGGGTTTTGGGCTGCCCCGGGTTTTGGGGTGCCCGCGGTTTGGGGTGTCCGGTTCGGGGGCGCCTTTAGTTTTGGGGTGCCCGCGGTTTGGGGGTGTTCCCGGGTTTTGGGGTACCCCGGGTTTGGGGTGCCCGCGGTTTTGGGCTGCCCCGGTTCGGGGGTGCCCGCGGTTCGGGGTCCCCCCGTTTTGGGGTCCCCCCATTCGGGGGTGCCCGCGGTTCGGGGGTGCCCGCAGTTTGGGGTCCCCCCGTTTTGGGGTGCCCGGTGCGGGGGTCCCGCACCAGCACCACGAGGTCGGCGCCCGCCTGCACGAGCAGGTCCAGCCGGTACTTGTCGTCGTCGCGGGTGCCGATGGCCGCCCCGACCCGCAGCTGCTTCCGCCCGTCCTTGGAGGCCGCCGGGTGCTCGCGGTTCTTCTTGAGGTCCGTGCGCGCCATCAGCGCCACCAGCTCGTCACGGCTGTTGACGATCGGCAGCTTCCCTGCGGGGACAGCGCGGGGACACCGCGGGGACGGTCACACCGAGCGGGGACAGCGAGGGGACACCGCGGGGACAGCGAGGGGACACCGCGGGGACAGTCACACCGAGCGGGGACAGCGAGGGGACACTGTAGGGACAGTCACCCGAACCGGGGACATCGCAGGGACAGGGGGTGCAGGTGGGACCCCAAGAGCGGGGCCATGGTGGCCACCAGCTCGTCACTGGGGACACAGGGGGGAAAGTGGGGTCACCAGGGGCTGGAGGGCACTGGGGGGGCTGCAGGGACACGGGGACATGGAGCTGACCCCAGGGACAGGAACAGGGACACAGGGCTGACCCCAGGGACAAGGAGGGGACCTGAAGGATGGAGCAGTGACAGCCACCAGCTCACCAGTGCTGGTCACTGTCAGCAGCCCTGGGGACACAGCGGGGGACAATGTGAGGGGAACGGGGACAGGGGACATCCCCCATGCGCCACCCAGGGTGGCACCGAGGTGCCCCTGAGGGGAGGTGACTCCCGGGGGTGACACCTGGGAGGTGCTGTGGGGGCCCTGTGGGGTGACAGGTGACTCAGGGTGTGACAGGTGCCCCAGGGTGTGACAGGTGCCCCCTGCACCTTTCTTGCTGCGCTGCAGGATCTCGTTGGCCTCTTTGAGGGTGACACCGGCTGGGGCCACCACCAGGTCCCTGCGCTTGGTCATCACCTGGGGACACAGGGACCCGCGTGTCACTGGATCAGCACAGGGACTGGCACTGCCACTGTCTGGCACTGCCATCGTCACCAGGGCTGGCACCAATCCTGGCACCGGCACTGGCACCAGCACTGGCACTGTCACCTGCACTGCCACCAGCACTGTCACCTTCACTGCCTGTCACTGTCACATGCACTGGCATTGTCACAGGCACCAGCCCAGGCACTGTCACCTGCACTGTGTGTCACTGTCACCGTCACTGTCACCTGCACTGGGGGGCCCAGGGCCACCGCGGGCAGCCCCCGCCCTGCCATGGATCTCTCCATCCTCCGACTCCTGCACCCCATCCTGCCCCGCAATACACATCCTGCCCCACATCCCATCCTGCCCCACATCCCATCCTGCCCCACACTGCACATCCTGCATCCCACCCTGCCCCACATCCCATCCCTGCCCCACACTGCACATCCTGCATCCCATCCTGCCCCACATCCCATCCTGCCCCACATCCCATCCCTACCCCACAATACACATCCTCCATCCCATCCTGCCCCACATCGCACATCCTCTATCCCATCCTGCCCCACATCCATCCATCCATCCATCCATCCATCCATCCATCCATCCCATCCTGCCCCACACTGCACATCCTCCACCCCACCCCAACATCCCTGCCCCACATCCATCCCTGACCCACATTACTCCATCTCCCAACCCTGCCCCACATCCTCCAACTCCTGCATCCTATCCTGCCCCACATTACTCCATCCTCCATCCCAGGCCCACACCCATCCTGCCCCACAGTGCACATCCTCCAACCCTGCCCCACATCCCATCCCTGCCCCACACCCATCCTGCCCCACAGTGCACATCCTCCAACCCTGCCCCACATCCCATCCCTGCCCCACATCCATCCTGCCCCACAGTGCACATCCTCCAACCCTGCCCCACATCCCATCCCTGCTCCACATCCATCCTGCCCCACAGTGCACATCCTCCATCCCTGCCCCACATCCATCCCTGCCCCTCATCCATCCCTTCATCCCATCCTGCCCCATATTGCACATTCCCCAACCCACCCATCCCTGCCCCACATCCCATCCCACCCCATCCCACCCCAGCTCACCCCACCCCGCCGTGTCCCCACGGCCGTGCCCACCTGTGCCAGGGGGGTGGCCCTGTCCCCCTCGCGCAGGAAGTCGATGTCGCGGGAGGTGACGATGCCCTCGAGCCGCCCCCCCAGGCGCCCCGAGTGGGTGACGGGGACCCCCGAGAAGCCGAGGCGCGCCTTGGCGTCCCACACGTCCCCCACGGTGTGCGCCGGGCTCATCACCAGCGGCTCCAGGATGAAACCCTGCTCGAACCGCTGCAGCCATGGGGACAGGGATGGGGACAGTGTCACCGGGGGCACAGGGACAGGGACAGTGTCACACAGGGGCATGGGGACAAGGGACAGGGCCATCAGGGGGCATGGGGATATGGGACAGGGCCATTAGAGGGCATGGGGACAAGGGACAGTGTCACACAGGGCATGGGGATATGGGACAGTGTCACCCGGGGGCACGGGGACAGGGACAGTGTCACACAGGGGCATGGGGACAGGGACAGTGTCACACAGGGCATGGGGATATGGGACAGTGTCACCCGGAGGCATGGGGACAGGGACACCAGGGGACATGGGGACACAGGACAGTGTCACCCGAGGGGCTCAGGGATATGGGACAGAGTCACCAGGGTCACAGGTGGCTCAGGGACACTGGGCACACGGCCAGGGCACAGGGAGGGCACGCCCACCGTGGGTGCTGATGGCCGCCAGCCCAGCAGGTGCCAGCCCAGCCCAGCAGGTGCCAGCCCGTGCCAGGTGACACCACAGGGTCCCCAGCTCACCTTGACCTTGCGCACCTCGCTGGCCTGGAACTCGGGGGTGCAGTTGTGGTGGATGATGCCGATGCCGCCGTTCAGCTGGGGGGCACACGGGGGGTGCACGGGGGGCACGGGGGGTGTGGGTTCACGGGCACCCCCTGCAGCCGGGTCCCCCATGTGCCCTCAAAGCCCTTGGGGACTGTGCCCCCATTCCCAGTGCCCCCCAATGTCCCCCCAGTGTGACAGAGCTCCCCAGGACCCCTCACAACCCCTGGATGTCCCCAAGATGCCTCCACCCATGTGGGTGCACCCCCACCCATGGGGACAGCCGTGTCCCCTTTGGTGACTGTGTCCCCCCATTGTCCCCCAGTGTCCCCCTTGTCCCCCCCTGCTCACAGCCATGGGGATGGCCATGTGCCCCAGTGTCCCCCCATTGTCCCCCGTGTCCCCACCTGCTCACAGCCATGGCAATGGCCATGTCCCCCCTGTCCCCCCAGTGTCCCCCCGCTCACAGCCATGGCGATGGCCATGTCCCCCTCGGTGACCGTGTCCATGGGCGATGACACCAGCGGTGTTTTCAGGGTGATGGTTCTGGTCAGTGCCGAGGTCAGGTCCTGGGGAGGGGAGCACCCCTAAAATCCTGACCCCCCCGAGAATGGGGGGTCCCCAACTCTGCCCTCCCCCCTGCCCTCCCTGCACCCCCAAAGGCATGGGGGGGTCCCGGGGGGTCCCAGGGGGATCTTGGGGGGTCACTCACCACCTCGTCAGCCGTGAAGTCGATGTAGCCAGGGAGGATGAGGAAGTCACTGTGGGGGGACACAAGGCTGGGATCCCCCTGGCCCCCCCAAACTGACCCAGACCCACTGGGGGGGCACTCGAGGTCTGGGGAGGCACCGAGGGAGGGGGGACATGCGAGTTGGGGGGGTCAGGGGGTTCCTGGGGGGCTCTGGAGGGGTTTGTGAGGTTCCTGGGGGGTCTGGAGGGGTTTCTGGGGTTCCGGGGGGATCTGGAGGAGTTTCTGGGGTTCCTGGGGGGGGTTGTGAGGTTCCTGGGGGGTCTGGAGGGGTTTCTGGGGTTCCTGGGGGGGTTCCTGAGGGGTCTGGAGGGGTTTCTGGGGTTCCGGGGGGGTCTGGAGGGGTTTCTGGGGTTCCTGGGGGGGTTCCTGAGTGGTCTGGAGGGGTTTCTGGGGTTCCTGGGGGGTCTGGAGGAGTTTCTGGGGTTCCTGGGGGGGTTTGTGAGGTTCCTGGGGGGTCTGGAGGGGTTTGTGAGGTTCCTGGGGGGTCTGGAGGGGTTTCTGGGGTTCCTGCGGGGGTTCCTGAGTGGTCTGGAGGGGTTTCTGGGGTTCTGGGGGGGTTGGCAGTGGGGATGCAGGGGGGGGTCAGGGGGTCCCTGGGGGGTTCCTGGGGGATCTTTGTGGGGATTCCCTGGGGCTGCTATGGGGAGGAGTTGGGGTTTCCCTGGGGGGCTCTGGGGGTGCCGGGGTGTGCCTGGGGGGTCTGGAGCCGCCTGTGAGGGTCGGGTGGTGCCGAGGGGGTTTTCAGGGGGTCTTCAGGGGTGGGGGTCACCCGCACTTGTAGGTGAGGCCATCGGCGCAGGCGAAGAGCTGCTGGGCCGTGAGCCCGTCCTGGGGCACGTAACCGGCACCGCTGATCAGCTGCTGCGCCATGCTGCGGGCGGGCGAGGCTGGCACCGGCACCGGGAACGGCACCGGGACCCGCACACCGGGAACGGGACCCGCACACCGGGACCGGCACACCGGAACCGGGACCCGCACACCGGGAACGGCACGCCGGCACCGGTACACCGGTACCAGCACAGGGACCCGCACACCGGGACCGGGACCCGCACACCGGGAACGGGACCCGCACACCGGGACCGGCACACCGGCACCGGTACACCGGTACCAGCACAGGGACCCGCACACCGGGACCGGGACCCGCACACCGGGACCAGCCCCAGGGTCTCCCCGGGACCCCCGACCACCCCAGGAGCCTCCCGGGACCGGGACAGATTCCCCCTCCCCGGGACTGGGACTCCCCCCGGGTCCCCCCCTCACACCGGGACCCCCACCGCGACTGGGACCCCCACCCGCACCACGAGCGTCCCCACCCGGGCCGTGACCCCCGAACCGCACCGGGATCCCCACCCGGACCCCGCAAACCAGGAACGGGACCCGCACCCGCACCGGGGCTGGCCGGGCCGGGCTGAGGGGGGTCCCGGTCTCGGGGGGATCACGGGGGGTTCATGGGGGGAGTTCCTGAGGGGGTCACGGAGGGGTCACTCTTTCGAGGGGGTCCCCGGGGGTCCCGTCCCGTTCCCGCGGGGGTCCCGTTCCCGTGCCAATCCCGCGCGCTGCGCTCCCGCAGCGGCCCCGGCGCAGGGCGTGCCCATGGGCGTGGCCTGGGGGCGTGGCCGGGGGCGTGGCCAGGGCCGTGAGTGGCCGCCGCAGCCCCCCCCCCCCTCCCAGCCTGCCCAGCGCTCCCCGCGCGCCGGGAGCGGCCCCAGCGCTCCCAGTAACCCCCAGTAACCCCCCCAGCGCTCCCAGTGACCCCCGCCGGACACCAGGGACCCCCACAGCACTCCCAGTAACCCCTCCCGCAGCCCGGGGACCCCCCATCCCCCAGCGCTCCCAGCAGCCCCTCCCGCACGCCCCGGTACCCCCGGCACCCCCCAGCTCCCACCCCCCCCACCAATGGTGCCCCACAGCCCCGGTAACACCGTCAGTGTCCCCTCGCCCCGCTCCCTCCCGCCCCAGTGCCGCCCCAGTCCCTCCCAGTGCCCCCAGTACAGCCCTGCCCTCCCCCGGTGCCCCCGTGCCCCCGCCCCGGTCCCGGTGTGCCCCCGGCGCGCCCCAGCGGCTCCCAGTGCCCCCAGTGCCCCCCAGTAACCCCAGTACCTGGGCTCCCCCTCGCCCATGGCGCTGAGCGCCGCCGGGGGCGGGGCCTCGGCACCACGCCCCACGACCACGCCCGCGGCCCCGCCCCGCCGGGCCCCGCCCCCCGAGCAACGGGGGCAGCCCCGAGCCCCGGGATGGGGACACCCCCGAGCAACGGGGACAGCCTCGCTCCGGGGGCGGCGCTGAGCGCCCCCCTCTGTGGACACACCCGCCTCTATCTGTGGGTACACCCCACCTCTCTGTGGGCACACCCCGCTTTGGGGGGAAATCCTTTACTTTGGGAGCTCCCGCTTTTGGGGGTTCATGCCTCCGGTACGGGTGGGCCTCTCGCATTCGGGTGCCCTCCCCTTTTTGGGGCGCGCCCCTCTGTTTGGAGCACTCCCTCTTTTGGGCACACTGCCTGTCATGGGGAGCAATCCCCTGTTTAGGGCGCACACCGTGTTTGGGGTGCCCCCCCTGATTTGGGGATACCTCCCCTTTGGGGGGACACGGCTCTGCTTTGGGCGTCCCTCGGGGTCCCCCTGCCCCGGGTGACCCTGGGGACAGCCCGTGCGGCCCTAACGAGCCCCGGGGGATGGGGCGGCAAAGCAGCCGCACCTGGGAGCACCAGGGAGCACGTGGGAGCACCTGTGTGCTCTGCCTGCACCTGGGTGAGCACCTGGGTGAGCACCTGGGTGAGCACCTGGGTGAGCACCTGGGTGAGCGCCTGGGAGCTCCTGTGTGCTCTGCCTGCACCCGTGAGCGCCTGTGAGCTCCTGGGTGAGCCCCTGAGATCCCCCGTGTGTGCTCCCCTGAGTGCCCTGCCCTCACCTGTGATCCCGGCCCCACTGCCCGCTCCCCTCAGCTCTCACCCCCCTCCCCGGGGGTCACCCCCCCGCACTCCCGGGGCTCGGTGCCCCCCACAGCGGGTGCGGGGCCGGCGCTGCGCCCCCCGCAGGCAGGGCCGGGCATTGCAGGGCATTGCGGGGGGCACCGCGCCCCCCCGGCCAGGGCAGCGCTCCCCGCCCGCTCCAAGGTGACCCCCCCGTGTCCCCGGGTGACCCCCCCGGCGCAGGGACCCGCGGGGGGCGAACGGAGCCCACCCGAGGCACGGGGACGGCACGGACACCCCCACTGACCCCCCCACAATGACCCCCCCACAATGACCCACAAAGACCCCCCCCACAATGACCCCATATTGGCCCCTCCATACTGACCCCCCTATACTGATCCTCCCCCACAATGACCCCATACTGATCCCCCCACACTGACCCCCCCCACAATGACCCACAATGACCCCCCCACAATGACCCCACACTGGCCCCTCCATACTGACCCCCCCCCACAATGACCCCATACTGGCCCCCCCACAATGACCCTCCCCACAATGACCCCCCCCCACAATGACCCCATACTGACCCCCGCACACTGACCTCCCTATACTGACCCCCCCCCACAATGACCCTCCCCACAATGACCCCATACTGACCCCCGCACACTGACCTCCCTATACTGACCCCCCCCCACAATGACCCTCCCCACAATGACCCCATACTGACCCCCGCACACTGACCTCCCTATACTGACCCCCCCCCCACAATGACCCCATACTGATCCCCCCACACGGACCCACAATGACCCCTCCCCCTGACCCCCCCCCAACGACCCCCTGTCACGGACGTTTCCCCCGGCTCTGAACCCCGGGACCCCCGGTACAGCACCCCCCCCGTCACGGCACCCACAGACCCCCCCCGTGCCCCCCTTACCTGCCCTCCCCCTGTCCCGCGGGGGTCGCCTCGCCCTCGGGGGGCTCCGGGGGCGCTTCCATGGCGGGGGGGGTCCCGGGGGTCCCGCGGGTGCCGGGGGGGTCCGTGGGTGCCGCTGCCGCCGGGACCCGCTGCCGAGGGAGGGGGGACGGGGGGGCGGTGCCGCCCCCTGGGCTCCGCCCACCCCGCGGGGTTCGGTCCGGCACGGGGGAAACTGAGGCACGGGGCGGCGCGGGGTGCGCCCCACGCTCGGGGGGGTCACACGGGGGGGGTCACGCACAGGGGGGGTCACGCACAGGGGGTCCCCCCGTGCCCCCCTCCGCCCTCCCCCGGCCCGCGGGGCGGGGGTCGCGCTCTCAGCCCCCCGAGCGGCGCAGGGGGACACGCGTGGGAGCGCCACGCGCGGGGGTCGCGGGGACTCCTCGGGGGTCGCAGCCTGTGCCCCCCCCGCCCCCCCGGGCCATTTGCAGCCGCGGCAGCTGCCGGGGATTAACGCGGCCCGGATTAGGGGGGATTTGGGGGGGCGCGGGGCGGGGGAGGGGCGGGAAGGTAATGGGGGGGCGGTGCGGCTCCGCCCAGCGCTCCCAGTATGGACCAGTATGGACCAGTGTAACCCAGCTGCCCCAGTGTGTGCCGGTACAGCGCGCTGCGCACAGCGCTCCCAGTACATCCCAGTACATCCCAGTGCTCCCAGAGCACCCAGCACGCCCCAGTGTGTCCCAGTATGTCCCAGTACACACCAGTTCGCCGTGCTCCCAGTGCAGCCCGGTGCGCCCAGTGCTGCCAGCACAAACCAGCGCACGGCGCTCCCGGTGCCCCCGGTGCCCCCCGTGCCCCCGGTGCCCCACGGCCCCGCTGTCCCGCAGCCCCGCGCTGCCGGTGCGGTGTCGCCGCTCGATGTCGCCGCCGGAGGTGACCCGCGGCACCGGTGACCCCGGCATGGATTAGCGGCAAACTCCCGCTCAAGCCTCTTAGCGGGGGCCGCCCACGGCCACGGGGTCACGCGTGGGGGAAGGGCACCCCGGGGACCCCCGCGGCACCCAGGGCTCCCAAACCCCTGCGCGCGGGGCACAGGGACCCCACGGCGCCCTGGTGGCACTGGGGGCCGCCCAGGGGACACTCGGACCCCCGGCCCCATCCCCCCCGGCCGGGACCCTCCCCACGCGGGGCAGGGGCACCCACGGCCCCCGCATGGGGCAGCGCCGCTTAAGGGACGCGGCGCCTTTAAGGGGCGTGGCCAGTGAAACACCGCCCTCAGAGGCGGGGCCACGGGAACGCGGGAAACGCCCAAATGCCAGCGAGGACGGGGGGAGCGTGAGAACCCCGCAGTGACCCCCAGTGACCCCCCCAGTGCGAACCGGGGACCGCCAGGACACCCAGAGCATCCCAGTGACCCCCAGTGTCCCCCCCAGTGTCTCCTAGTCCCAGCCAGTGCATCCCAGTGACACCCAGAGCGCCCCAGTGACCCCCAGTGTCATCCCCAGTGACCCCCCCAGTGTCTCCCAGTCACATCCAGTCCATCCCAGTGCTGCCCAGTTCCCAGCAGCCAATCGCAGTGCTGTCCAGTTCCCAGTCACACCCAGCCCATCCCAGTTCCCAGTCCATCCCAGTTCCCAGTCCATCCCAGCCCATCCCAGTCACACTCAGTCCATCCCAGCCCATCCCAATTCCCAGTCCATCCCAGTCCATCCCAGTTCCCAGTCAGACCCAGCCCATGCCAGTCCATCCCAGTCCATCCCAGTCGTTCCCAGTTCCCAGTCCATCCCAGTCCATCCCATCCCATCCCAGCCCATCCCAGTCACACCCAGCCATGGTTCCAGTGTTTATTGCCCATCCCATCCCAGTCCATCCCAGTTCCCGTCCCATCCCAGTCCATCCCAGTCGCTCCCAGCCTGGTTCCAGTGTTTATTGCCCATCCCAGTCCATCCCAGTCCATCCCAGTCGCTCCCAGCCTGGTTCCAGTGTTTATTGCCCATCCCAGTTCCCATCCCAGTCCATCCCAGTTCCCATCCCAGTCCGTCCCAGTCGCTCCCAGCCGCGGTTCCAGTGTTTATTGCCCATCCCAGTTCCCATCCCAGCCCAACCCAGCCCGTCCCAGTCACTCCCAGCCTGGTTCCAGTGTGTGTTTATTGCCCCTCAGCACTCGATGGAGTCCTCGAGCAGCTGCAGCAGCGGGGGCGCCGCTCGGGGGTCGCCGCCCGCCGCCTCCTCCAGGCTCTCCTCGCTCAGCTCCTCCAGGGCGGGCAGCGCCCCCGGCGCCCCCCGGAGCCCCCCGCCGGCCCCGGGGCTGCCGCCGCCCCCCGCGGGCCCCGCCGGCGCCTCCGCGGGGCTGGGGGCGCGGGGCTGGGGGTGCTGGGGGGGCTGGGGGGGCGCGGGGCTGCCGGGGGGCGACCCCGCCGGGGACCCCGCCCCTGGCTCGCCCCCCGCGGGCCGCGCCGCCCCCAGCGAGTTGGCCTGGGCTTTGGGGGGCGCGGGGGGCGCGGGCGGCGGCGGGGGCGGCGGGGGCGGGGGCGGGGGCGGCACCTCGCCCACCTCGCTGTAGCCCTCGTTGGGGTAGTACAGCCGGGGGGGGCTCGGGGGGCTCTTGCCGGCCTGCACCTGCAGGGGGGACACACAGGGAGGTCAGGGGGCGCCCCCACACCCGACACCCCCGCGGGAAACCCCATCCCCCGCGCGGGGACCCTCCATGGAGCCCCCCGGCACCCCGACCCCCATGGGGACCCCCAGTGCTCCAAACCCTGCCCAGACCGGGGACCCCCGTGGGACCCCCCCGGGCATTCCAGCACAGGGACCCCCCCCAGCACAGGGACCCTCACTCACTCCCCCAATCCCGACCACGGGACCCCCCAGGACCCCCCAATGTCTCCCCAGCACAGCGACCCCCCGGGAGCCCCCAGCACCCCGACTCCCTCCGGCAGGACCAGCACGGGCCCCCCCCCCCCATGGGACCCCCCCATCACCCCGACCCCCCCCGTGGGACCCTCCTGATGGGACCCCCGGGCACAGGGACCCCGCATCCCCCTTTTGGGGGGGCTCAGAGCAGGGTGACCCTCCCCCCCCCAGCAGTTTTTGGGGGTCCCCTCCCTCGCCCCCCACTCACCGGCTGGAACCACCTCAGGCTCTGTGGGGGGGAACGGGGGGGTCAGCTGGGAAACTGAGGCACGGGCTGGCTCCCTCCTTCCCGCAGCCCCCCCAGGCCTGGGAACCGCCTTCCTACGGCCCCCCCAAACCAGCAGAGCCCCCCCCAGACCCAGGAGCCCCCCTTCCTTCCCAGCCCCCCAAAAACGGGACCCCCTTCCCCCCCCGGAGGGTCCCCGGTCCGCAGCGCTCC